CACAGGCATTATTTCTAAGTACATTGACCTAGTCAGCCTTCTTTAATGGTCTACATTATTTCAAATGTCCATGAATCAAATACAGAACAATTACAAGTGAAGAAATATTCACAATGTGCTGAATAACAATTTTAATAGTCTATTGAAAATCACCAAAAATGGTCGTCACTTTTAAGCAACACACACACACGAATTAATATTGGACCAATTGATATTTGATAATTTTTTCCAATTTATTATCCCAAATATATAAATATTATTTATTTATCATTCAACAAGCCAATGTCTACATCAATCAGTATTGCACTGACAAGAATTAATATGTTCTCTAGACTGGACAGTTTTTGTGTGTGATGGGAAAATATTTTTTTATTTACAATTACGAAACAGGCTACAGAAAACATGAGAGTGAACCATGTTCATTGGTAATGTCATTTTTTGAAAAATATGTGAACTATGCAGTGTTAACGCATTTATTTTATAGAATTTACAGAACACAATAACTCACAATAATGTAGAATAGTTAAGTTCAAACTTCACACATACATGTACATCAGACACGTATTTCAGATATTCATATTTATTTGCGTCACAATGAATAAAGCAACACTATGAAGCCTTTGAGGAACCATATTTCAGGTATTCAAATTTTTGTTCAAATCTGTTGCATTGCAAAAAAATGCCTGAACTGTTAAAATAAAATATGAGAGATTGCACACAACAATCACAAGACATACAATGTACAGATACATGTATGTACATTTGCACACCCAAATATACTCTTTCATTAAAAATGTGGGGACTATGTCATGCCATGACTTGTTTTCATTGCGCTTATACATACTGTAAATCATTAATCTTTCACTGATGGAAATTTGCGTGATTTTATACAAAATTTCAAAAATGTCATTGACACTTCGCGTATCCTAGATTTTACGACTCTTATGAAATAAAAATGAAATATGCTAAATTCAAACCAAGTAAATTACGTTAACTATACATGTAGCATTTATTGTTTTTTGCAAATGTACTGAGAATGAAATATACAATGTTTTCCTTCAGAAAGATTATAGTACAATATTTCACAACATGCACATTCTGGAATCTGAGCATTGTGCTTAAAACAATTACTGTAGTCAGAGATTTATATGAAAATGAGATGAGAAAATGCAATAGATATGTGATAAAAATAAAATACAAATAGACACGAAATACAAGATGATCATGAAATTGCAAGACAAAACTACATTCCTAGAAATAATAATGCAAACAGACGAGTTGAAAATAGAATTTATTATCCTTACTTATTTGGAAAGTGTGTACAAATATATTATGTGAATTTTAATATGATAATCTTGCTAATTTCTGTGTACTGCAATCAAAGCTTTGTAAGCATCCAATGTGTTCTGTGATGATATTTATTAATAATTATACGTTCCGGTGTACACAAGATCTTCACCACATACAATGCCTTATCCTAATTTATCTTTGTGTAATTTAAAGATTTTATAGGCTCTCTGTGTTCTGATTACCACAGGTTACTGAGATGAAAGTTCAATTCATCATATAGCGAAAATAAATACATATATATATATATATATATATATATATATATATATATATATGTATATATATATATATATATATATATATATATACATATAACTAGTAATCTACGAACCCACATCATGGACATGTGACCTCAGTGGTCAACAATCAAATTATCCTAACCAAACGTCCACTGTGCTCGTGAAAGCGGTCACGATTGTACTCTTAGTCTTCGATATTTCGGTTGTCTCAGAAAAACAATACGGCATTCTACGATTGCAACTGTTAATAAAATGAACAATCGCGATAAAAGGACGCTGTGTTTCAAGAATGAACCGAATCATTAATAATTGCCAAATTGGAATTCATTCTGACGCTACAATTCAGACTCGATGAGAAGTTTAAACAAAGTACACGATCAAGACACGTCTGGACAGTATACAACAAGTATGTGAGACCGTAGACAAACAGTGAAAACTTTCAAAGTGCCTAAAACGATCATATATTGAGAAGAGAAAAAACAACGCTCTTACCTTCTCCAGAACGCGGCCATATTGTTTACATGAATGCTGCCTACAGAGGGCGCTTCTTTACAAGAACGTACACAAAGAGACGAGTGTGAAGATAGCGTTCGATTCGATACGCATTCGATTCACGTACGATTCTTATTCTATTCACGTGCGATTCGCGTTCGATTCGCTTTACGCAATAGTACCTCTATCACAGGCAGCCTTCAATTTTGAGATCTATCACCTCACTGCGTACAGCCATTTTCCAGAAGGAAAGTATTCATGTACTATTTCCAATATTATTGTACTAACCCAAATACTAACCCAAATAACACACCCCAGTTTTTTACCGCTAACCCGACTACGCTGATACGCTGAGAGATAAGAAAGCCGATTAACACTTCAAACAACAATATGCGTTGCCGGTCTATCTGGGTTGGTTGTCTGAGTTTAGACTCAGATCCCTCCACAAAAAATGCGAATCTCAAAGACCGACAGAACGATATCTATTTTAATTATATTACTTTCAATACGATGGCCCGAGGATGTACATGGCAGTCGCTTTTGCTTTAAATGTCGCATTCCACATATTTAAATAGCGGTGCTCATCGCATAGTGATAGTATTTTAGTTATTTCTGATACAATTTGTGTTACTAAATCTGCTATTTTCAGACATTGGGATTTTTATTATCCCTAAGTACAGTGCAGTTCTGGAGGTTGGCTCGGCTTCTTCCGCTGATCACTCGGCCCTCACAATTACAACTGAATCATGAAAACTGCAGAAAGGCTCTCCGCCATAAATTTGTAGGCGGGTGTCGAATCCCCGGTCTATAGGACTTCTCGGGACTCTAAGGGCCGAATGATCAGCAGAAGAAGGCCAACCTACAGGACTGTACTCGGGAGTATCCAACAAGTAGTCGGGGAAACCTCTCTTCATTGTCGCATATTGTACTCGTTCGACCTGAAGAAAATGGCTGCCAACGAAGTAATGTGTAGTCCGGAGCACTAAATCCCGGGAAAACATCAAGCTAATGGTTTCTGTCACGGTTTTGGTGAGAGTTTAATAAACATATTATCGAGTGGCGTTAGCTTCGATGGTGTGATGCGAAACATATTCTGCTTTTGTCGAGTTTTTTTTTTTTTTTTTATTGCGATGCCATTTGGCGTCGCACGTTTGTGTTACGCAAGTCCATGTCAGGAACCATGGCTCATCTGTTTCTTGTCAGCAAACTATCGTAATAATGTCAACTAGATAAAATGAACTAATTCGAACCAAATACTTTTCTCAACAGTCATTATTCGAACTAACAAATATACATGTCTCTAACGAAACTTATTCAGCGGAACAAAAGAACACGTTGCAATAATGTCCATGTTATCGTGTTAATTACAATGAATCAATCATTTAGTGTTGGCGTGCACGGTGTTTCCATCCTACCTGTAAAATATACTGTAAATACTATACTTTAGCTTTGATTTTTTTTCTTTTTTCGCTTTTTATCTCCACCGCGCGTGATTAATGCAGATATTACACTTGAACTTGATATAGTATGATTATACGCATCGCCTTGAGCATGTAATTACTGTTTTCATTAAATAATTATAATATTTATAATAACTGGTATCAAGTAAGGTAATCATATGTTTAATTTCAGTTGAATGTAGATTTGCACCATAGACCCTCTAACCCTCTGTTAGAGGGTCTATGTTTGCACCCTTCATTTGATTAAATTGTGCGTCAATAGGTATTCCTCCAATCATCAGCAATTATATTTGTAGTGACTTGGGTGCCTTCCACCGTGACACTGGACTCAACCATTTGACAAGGGGTTAGCAAGAAATAAAATGATTTACGATTGTTTGAAATAATAATACACAGGTTATATCTAGTAGACGAACTACTCGTAACCGCATAAACCACATGCTATGTTGTAACAGAAATTGAAACATTTCCTGTAGATGTTTAAGCGCAGGCGAAGTAGTTTCACCTGAATGGTTTTTGCCAAAGTTATAATTAGATACACTAATTTAGGTTGGTGTGAACTTGTGCACCTAACTCTTGATTGTTTTCTCGGGCTGGCGTCAACCTAGCTTCTGCAATGACTGAATTTTGTCTTCATCCGATGGTCTCAACAATCTGAATGGCTTGTTGTTGCAATGTGCCAATTTATCGAAAAAATAGAGCGTGACATCTCCCACAGAGAGATGCCCGTGAATGAAAACAATTACAATGGTAAAAATGGATGTTATCAAACTCTCGGAGAGCATTACAACACAGTCCCTATATCACCATACAGGATTGAACGCTAATGGGTGGGATATAGTTGGACCATTCTCAATTAATTCAGTATTTCATAATGACTACATATATACTATTCCATTCCTACCAACATTTAACATTTTAAAATAGGCCAAAATAGCGTACCGACAAAATTGTTCAAATGTAAAATAGTGACCACTCACTCCACCAGAGAATATGACGTTCCGTTTCTTTTTGAGGGCGCTGTCGATATGTGCATGAATCGTGGATTCAGCTTAGCGAGATGGTGCGATGCCGGCGTTGTGGATTAGTTCTAATCCTACCTGTAAAAAGTAATGAAATATTTCTATCAAAGTGCTTAATGTCGAGCCGCTTTCTCGCCACCAAAGGTCAATCAGTCTGTTCTATCGGCGATTGGGCTGTTTTCAGAATAGGTATGTAAATTGGCAAAAAAAAAAGAAGAAAATATTTTTTTTTCAGGCCAACTAGTTCCCCCTAGTATATCATGGCATTCATTCGCGCTACCAATGTACATGAAAGTCCATGCCATTAGAGGGCGCTGTTAAAATAACCACGTCTTTACAAGTGAATGATTTATTCAGCATTCCGAATGAGTGTGGTAAATATGTGGCCGAAAAATCTCCGACCCCACCTGTAAATGAATTATAGTTTTTTTATCAAACCGATTAGTAAAATGCCAGACAAATTTGTACAAGCACAGACATAAGCAGTCACTCACCATTCTCCTGTCAGGATCATACAGCTAGCTGGTTAGTTCAGCACTCTTTTCATTTCCAATCATGTTGTAGTGTGTATTCAACATCATAAATTGTGTGTTTTCCTCTGTGTAAGGCTCTAATCATTACTTCCAGAAATCGTTACAGTGTTATACACACATATATCCATATGAATTACGATAACAGACAACGGAGTTGAAGCCTCTTTATCCTCTCTCTTATTTTGTATACCCCTCTATGTTACCCACTTTTCATTACTTGAAACTTGAAAGGAAATCACTACAATACATTGCAGCAATACAATACAATACAATACAATACAATCGGGTGAACGCGGTGCTTTTCAGCGCTCCCCGATTTTCTGCCTGTTTTGCGTTTTTTGCGTTCGTTGTGCGCCCGTGTTTTTACACAGTTGTATATAGTGTGTCTACCCTTTACGTGAGTAATTTATATTTGTTGTTTTTGTGTTATTATTGTGGTTTTTGGAGGCGTTTTCTGCCTCGACGGTGGTAAGATTCCGGCGACCAATATGGCGGCCGCTGAGAAGAGGCCTTCATCGTCACCAAATGTAAAACTCACCAGGAACCATGCCAT